AAAAAATATATATATATATATATATATATATAGCTGCTATAATAATTAAAATTCCCTACTTTAAAACTAAGCATGCAACCGTTTAGTAATAACAAAGGCAAATCTGTAACTAATTTGCCACTGAGCACAACCTTATTCAATTATTGCCCTGCATGATAAAGCAGCGCAGGTCCACAACATGAATTTTGAAATTGAATACTTAGGGTTTTGTTCGGTTGCATTTTCGAGTTACGGTGACTTGAGTGTAGATTTTAAGTTGAATTTGAGTTGAAGTTGTAACTTGAGTTTGTGTTTTGATGTGCATATTTGAGTTATGATTTGAATTGAGAATATATTTGAGTTTGTGTTTGAGTGGGTCAAAACTTGAATTTGTATTTAGATAGTATTTTAATAAAAACTCAATGGCGATAAAAAATTTTAATAAGATATATGGATATGATTTTATTCGACTTTTCATTTTGAACGCATAGAAAGAAAAATCATCTCAATTAGAATTAAAACGAAAAAGTTATGACTTTCTTAAGAGTAGAAAAAATATTGTTCATTAACTTGAGTTTAAATTTAAAAACTTGAGTTGAAGGTGAAATTTGAACTCATATTTTAACTCCAAACTTAAGTTAAAACTCAAATTTTACAAACGAATATAAATTTAAATAAAATTATAACTTGAGTTAAATTTTTTTTTTTTTTTTGAGTTTTACTTCAAAATAATAAGCCCTTCCTTAATTTTCTCAGGAAGATAATGGACGATAATTCCAATGTTCGCATCTGGATACTGCGAGAACGTGGCAAAAAAGATGAGGATAAGTTTACAATTGCTGTAAATTGGATTATATATCACGTGGTGGCAGAAATGACGATCGTGGGGATCAACAAGATAAATAATTCTCAATACCATTATAAACATGATCATTGCCGAATTATAATTAGCACTGACTAAAGTAGATCATCATGCCCCCATCAAGACAAACAACGATGTGCGATTTGTTTCGTGGCTTTGAGCCACAGTTTAAATTTTTATGTTGAGAGTGTTTTTTCTCAAAAAAAAAAAATACTTATTTAAATTTTTTAGTTTAAACGTATGATTCGGAGACGTTTAGTTCATGGATTAGAATCATGAGATTAAAATTATTTTTAATTTACGTGTATTTTTTGTGAGAGAAAACACTGTAATGAATCATAAACTATGATTCGAATCGGAGTACGAATTTCCAAACCAAACAACCCCGAAATGATCCAACTTGTATAAAGGTGTAAGTTTGGCCCTCCAGCCCAAGCCCAACACCCCAGGCTTTAAAAGAGAGAGGGACAGCCTAACTTGAGCCTAAGTCTGTAAAGTTTAAAATTGGCTCGGCCCGGTCTGAAATTTTATATGGTATTTTTAAAAAAATCTTAAAAAATATGATGTTTGGGATGCGCTGGCCTGACTCAAAGTGAGAGGGTCGGCCCAGCTTGAGCCTAAGTCTAAAAAGTTTAAAGCCGGCTCAGTCCGGTCTGAAATTTTATATGGTATTTTTTAAAAAATCATAAAAAAATATGATGTTTGGGATGTATTGACCTGACCTTAAAAAAGAGAGGGTCGGCTTAGTTCGGTCCTAAGCTCAAAAGAATTAGGGCCGGGTTGGGCCGGGCTCAGTCCAACAGTGGCAGGCTTTTGGCATGTCCGTTTAGGCCGGCCCAAATTTGTAACTCTAAACTTGTAGAAAGTAGATGTGAAAAGGTCTTGCCTCATATTATGTCATGAATATTAAAAAAATAATTTTAGGGATGTTTGTTTTATCAATTTGAATTAAAAAATCCGATTCGAATGAAGCTCGAGGTCCAAATCAGTGTTTAATGTGGCATTTGTTAGGGGAACATTCAGATTAAGTACTCAATTCAAATCTAATTCAAACCACCAAACTTATAATTCCTCCTCTAAAATCTCACAATTCAAACCTATATATTACCATTAAAATGGTTGCTTTTTGTTATTGTTTTTTTTTTTTCCTTCTCTTCTATCTCAAACTTCAAAATATCATAAGTTATTCATTTTTACTCTGATTAAGTTGATTTTTTTCTTTGTATTCAAAAAGAGAAGAAAATATCCTCATCCATATAAACTATCAAAAATCTGCCGTAGATAATGAGGCATTATAAGATTTATTACATAACTATAAAGTTTTTAAATGAATGCTTTCAACACTCATGCCAAATACAATGCAGATTTTATTCCCATTTTTTATTACAATTTATCTAATATATCTAAGTAGCAGTTGAATCACAATTTAAATCACTTAAATTTAATTTTTCAGTTCAAATCAAAAAGACTAAAATCATTATAATTCAAACCCAGCCAATAGACCCTTAGACTTAGTTTAGTAGTGCTGTAGATTTTGAAAAAAATACTTTTAGTTGTGCTGAAGAAAGAAACAGCTGTTACAAAAAGCAGCTGAGTGTTTGGTAAACTATAATTATAATAGCTGTGCTGGTTCCAAAATCAGTATAATAGCATTTGATAAATTATAAGGTTGAATTGTTGTTGATAGTTAAAACTTACAACTATATTATATTATACTATAATATAATATATATAATTACAATATAATATATACTTATTATTATATTTAATATAATACAAAAAACTAATTATAATATAGAATATAATAATATTATTAAAATAATAACTAAATAATTAAAAATAACGATTATATTATATTATACTATAATATAATAT